TGAACAATATCCTTATATTGTGCAGCTTTCCAACAGAGGAGTCATTTGGATTTATGAACAATGATTCAAAACTGTATTCACATTAAAAAGAGGATATGAAAACCATAAACTTAAGGTTTTTACCTCAAAATGGCCCCCTCAAAAACTAATAATTTACAACAAACACCAAAAATTAAATAACAATCAATAAAACAGAATTATTTTATGACAGAAATATTCTATCTGTGCTCACTTTATGATGAAATCACTAACATTTTCAGTGTTCCTGAAAACAACATTGGGTGAGAATTAAAAAAAAAAAAAAAGTGAAATATATTTATTGCCATATAAAGAAAACAGATTTATGTAAGCCTATTTCTAGGCCTGGTAAATCCATTTCAATTAAGCAATAAATATCATGACTACAGTCTGAGCTGTATTACTGATGATAGTTATGACAGTGTTCAATTTTCAGAGGTATATTTATCATAATAATGTTTATCACCTAACTCAAAAGGATGTTATGAGGATACATTAATATTTATACCCATTAGTGTTTTGGAAATAACAAGCATTATGTTATTTTAATTTTTACACAACTAATTAAATTAGGATGAGGTTGTAATTGGACTATAAGCACAAAACCCATTCATTTCACATAAAACCAGACTTGGGGAAATAATAAAAAATAGTAACAACAATAGTAAAATTGTTGTTACTATTGTAAAATAGTAACAGCAACAATAGTAATATTGTTGCTTTCTAAAATAGTGCTTTTTTACTTCTTTCACACTCTAAATACCAACTCTTAAGGTTTGTTCTGGGTCTTTCTGAGCTCTCTTTTGTCCCACCACTCATCTCAGAGATACAGGCAGGAAGAACAGAAATATTGAACTCACCATATGAACTAGGCTAAAAAAATAATTATTGAGTGTGTTCTAATTACAACAATGATTAGTTTGTTCCAGCCATTTGGATTAAACAAGAGCATTTCTTTTACTGCAAAATAGGTAACAGAATGTGTTGTATCAACTGCAAAAGTCTCTGAGCCCTAACTTTGTTCAGAAGCCTTTGCAGTTTGGTCCATGCTAACCAGCCAGCATTTCTAAGTGAAATTGCCCCTAACTGGCACAAACACAGTAATGGGCTGGTAAAACTGGAGACAAATAGCAAAAATTTTGAGAGGAATCTTGGCAGCTTTAATTCCTCTCTTGCATGATGACAACACTGGTTCCTAATAAAGGCAATTAAATATTCACTATTTAACATCTCACTACATCACTCCAGAAAATAAAGTTTTCTTCTGAGATATTTCCTGTGTTTCTTTTATTCCATTACACAAACTCCACTGGTAACTGGCTGCCACACAAAGCTGCACAAGCTTTAGTTGCTCATCTTTATTCTTGCCTCAGTCACAGAAATGCCATGAGATTTAAGGGTTGCTTTGTCACTTGGCTATTCAGGAAATCCCTTTTGGAGACCAGGGGTACCCACAGAGGTGGTGCCAGCCCAAAGACCTGTGTGTGTCCCCAGGAGGCACACGGGGAGCACAGAGTTTGCCCATCAGTGCTGCTGGAGCCTCGTGCTGGACATGAGTGTCCTTGGTCTGGCAGCACCAGAGACAAGTGTGAGCCTCTGCCCCCCTTCTGCTGAGCTGCTGTGGCCAAACCCCATTTACCCACGAGTTTTGGGGTTATTAAACCCCATATCAGAGCCCCACACACTTGTTTTGGTGAAGGATGATTTCAAATCAAAGTTTCCCCATGGAGGTGTTTATTCCCCAATGCTTTCCCGAAATTTCACTCTGCTGTTTCAGCCTCAGGTTGCACCTTGTTGTGGTGTAAAGAAACTAAAAATAAACAGCAGAAAAACTGTGGGAGTATTTCAAGACAAAGAGGCTTGGTACCTTTCCTGTGACCTTTCCAGAAAAAGAACAAATCTTCTGTGTTCAAGGTTAGAAAAGCTTCCTATTAGCACAAGGCTTACCCAGAATATTGCTGCCTGAAAGATTAAACTTCTGTAAATATAAGCACTGAAAAAAAAAAGGATTTACAATGAAATCTGACAGCCAGACCAGCCACAATGTACCCACACCAGCCTCACAGCTGTCTGCCAAGCTTCCTGGGAGAAATATATTTTAAGGAACGTGCTTTAATTCATTATCCTTTAAAATGATGAAGTGATACAACAGGAAAACACACATTAGCTGCCTCAGTGTCTCTGCAAAATAGGTGTCTGGCAGTTCAGTGCTGTGTTGTTCCAGTGTGGGTGTCAGTGCTGTCACCCAGACCAACACTGAGCAGACATGCCTCTGTGCAAATAAATAGAAAAATATAGAAGCAGCTATTACTGGAAAGAAATGACTTTGTGGCACTTTTCTTTAAAATATTCCGCTTCATTGGAGTGACACCTTGTGCTCTTCTATTTTGATGTTTATTCCTGACTGGTATTAAACATAGAGGCTGAATCAATTCATTCCAGGATTCAGGCAAATTATTAATTCATACTATGCATATTAAAGCAGCACAACTGTGTTAAAATATGATGAAAATATCTATACTCACAAAAAATTAAAAGGCAGCACGTCACACTTTCAAATGACAAAAAAAAAAAAAGAAACCATTTCTGATGGCTAAAAAATAAGTACGCAATAATTCCAAGAAGCTCCTTTTTTGAAATTGTAGAATTAAACTTTAAAGGCATGTCCTCTGCCAATACATCTCCTGAAATCTCCTTTTGACTTTGCAACAAGGACAACGGCCCAAGGCTTTGCTAATCAATTCCTTGTGTTGCAGAAAACAGAGTAATTTGAATTTTGTCCAAGAATACAGTTTGAAATGCAGAAAATGTGAAGAGCTAACTAACATGCAATTATTTGTAGCCACAGTCTGCATACCAAGGGAGAAGAAAGCTGAAGAAGTAATTCAACAGTTATTGCCATTTTAATATAGAGAACCACCCACCATGGCTCAAGGCTGCAACAACCAAGACTGAACCCAACTACCCCTCTATTAGAGAGCTTCAAAACAGAACAAAACAAAACAAAACAAACCCAAAAAATTTTCTTTTCTCCATAAACATGGATCTTAAAGGAATAAAAGCAGGTTTGTTTTGGTTCATTTTGCTTCAGGAGCTCTTGCTATATATGAATAGCTGAGCAATTTGCAATGTTCTCTTACAGTGAGTATATGCCACATCCTGAGACATTCCCAAAGAATGTTTTCAGCTTCCCACCCTGGGTTTTCCTTTCTAGAAGAAGATGTGGTGTGATGCAGGCAGCACCTGGCTGTGTGCTGCTCTCTCTTCTTAAGAACCACAAACTTTTTTGTGTTTTGCCTGTACCTCAAACTCACAGGTCTGCAAGCACTGATATGCAGAGAGGAGGAGCAGAGGAAGCACATCCAGCCCATCCCTTTTCCATTCCCATTCCCATGCCCCTCCTGCACGTTGCCCACACCAAGCACTCCTCCCCAGACTGAACACAAAGTCTGGGCTGTCAAAGCCTCCCCTAACTCTGCTTCTTTCAGATCTTCAGTGTGCAGTCCTTTCAGTGGATAAAGGTTAGGAATAAAAAGTTAATTTCTCGTTACTGTTTTTCAGAAATTTTACTTTTTCTCTCTCTCTTTTTTTTTTTTTTGGTTGGGTGTTTTAAAAGTTTTTTGTTTTGTTTTGTTATTAAAGGCATTTGTCTGTCATTCTCAGAGGAACTGAGAAAGCCCTCCCTCCTCAGGACTTTTCCAGCCTACACAGTGCATCTGAACAGAGTTGGCACAGACAAAGGCTGATGTCCACTAAAAGAACTGAATTTTGCAAAGCATCTCTGGCTCACAAGGCAGGGAAATTTGAGAGAAAGGCTTTGGTTCCTCAGCTGTCTCTTCCATGTTTAGAATTAACTTAACACTTCCCCATCCATCATTGTCTAGAACTAAGCTAAGCTTCAGGTAAGTGAAGCCACACCATCAGTAATTTCCCAAGAAAAATCATTATTAATTACTTCTAAAGTTTCTGATACAGTTTTATTTTCCCTTTTTCTAAAACCAGCCATTCTTCTTCTGACTTTCACAGCACCAAGTCTGGAATAACTCCAAAGAAAATGTCAGAGAAATTAGATGAGCAATAGAGCTACAACTTTCACTACCAAAAGGACCCACAAATTTCCTTTGGTTAGCAGCTGAAACATTATTTACATTATGGAAAAAAAAATAATTATAATGTCAGTGAATTAATTATTTTAATTTTGAAGAATTGGTGATATTCTAAACTATGGAAACAAAATACATAGGGCTTATAGTTAATCCAAGTAGTAGAGCATAGCTATCACTCAAACATTTCAGGCCTTACACCAGCAGAATTGAGAAAGACAAAAATATTATTCATGAAGAAGAATTGCTTCCCCCATGTTTGATTCTTTGGTCATCATTTAAAAATAACTCATTACATTTTTCCCTTTTGAAGTCTGGTAAAACATTTGCTGTAATCCAGAACTTAGTATCAACCTAATGGTGATTTTTTACAAATGATTTATACCTAACCCTCAGAAGAAAAGGATTTATAATGAAAGTGATAGCTCAAGCCTAACTGCAGCAGTGGGAATGGTGACACCATAATTAATGTATTATTTCAGTTGTGGGAGACACTGACAGTAGCTTTTTGTTCTGAGGAAAGAAATTTATAGGGTGATGGAAAAAGGCACGTGGAAAAAAAAAAAATCACAGAAGAGGAATAGAAATCCTTGTAGCAAAGACATGTCCTTACAATCCCCCTCCCGGAGGCTATAAAATCCTGGCAGTGACAGTGTTTCCTCACAGTCTAATTTATACCTTTCTCCTCTACTAGATGGCAGTGTGACATGCTCTCAGAATTGCTAAGTGAGGGGGTTTTTTGCTTTCTTTCATAGGAAGCAATTAATTTAAAATATCATCTTGCTGGCATAAAAATAAAAAAAAAAAAAAAAAAAAAAAAAAAAGAAAAGAAAAATTTGCCACAGGCTGTGTATTTTGAAATCAAATCTGTTTACTTACAGGTTCAACATCGAAGGCAAATAGTGCATATTCCCTGTCAGGTGACACCTCATACCGGATAGCCTTTAAGGAGACCTGGAAAATAAATACAGTTTTGAAACAAATGTTCTTCAGTTTTCAAGCTAATGACATATAGAGATAATTTTTATGATCATCTCTCTAAGGATGAAGAATATTGCCAGAATTAAGTGTCTTGAAAAATACAGTTTGTTTTTTTTTTTTAAACCCCTGAAATACTATGTGGGCACTCACAAGGGAAAGAATAAATGTGTTGTGACTCAGAGCAGGCAGCTATATCAAAAAACCCAGAATTTTCCTTACTGCACAGTGGCTGGTGAGGTGGCAGGTGTAGGCAGTAGTTAGTAGAAAGCTCTGATAAATGGCAATTTATTAATTTCCTCTCATTATCTGTATTCACTGCCCAGTGCAGGAGATAAAAAAAATGTAAATAGCTTCTGGAGCAAATTAGTAATAGAGACAACACTACCTCCCCCAATTAAGATAACCCAGAAGAAAACTATTCTGTTTTCCCCTGTTAAAAGATTTGGGATGCTGCAGCAGTTCAGTGCACCCTGACCTGTGTTCTGCAAAAATCAGCACAGTAAATCTCGCTAACAAGAAGAAATGCCAGGGTATCTCAGACTTGCCAGGAATTACCTTTTTCCAGCCCCACTTTTCATTTGTGTAGTGAAACCATTTCTCCTCCCCAGTATGTTTCAATATAATGCATTGCTGGCACAGATGGCACCAAGGTCAAAGAGAGGTGCCACTAACACATCACTCATCCACTGCCTTTTAAATCTCACCCTCTCACATAACAAATTAGATGCAAGTCCTTGAGAGAGCAAAACTGAAAGGGGAATTGGGGAAAGTCCTCCACAAGACCAGAGGGGATGGATGAGCTATGGGGGGAGCCCAGGGGACAGCCAGAAGCACAGGGGACAGGTGGCACCATCACAGAACGATTTGGGTTGGGAGGGACCTTTAAAAGCTGCCCAGTCCAACCCCCTGCAATGAGCAGGTGTTGGAACTCAAAATGTCCCTCAGACATTTTTGGAGGTTCTGGGGCCCGGTCAGAAGCATTTGAGACCCTGGCAGGCAGCTGGAAACAGCTGTGATTTGGGTTTGAGCCATGGAATGATTTACCAACTTTGCAGGAAGAACAAGAAGTCACAAAAATTTAGATGTTATAGTAGAAGTAGTTACAAAGTAAAGGGAAGAATTTTTGAGTGCTGTACAGGGGGTTTTAGTTTTGTACATGGGGGTCAGAGGTTTTAAGATGGAGGGATTTGGGCCTGCTCTGTCCTTCCTCTTTCTTCTTCCTTACCTCCATGTTCTTGGTGATGTTGGCACTCACAGATTGGTTTAGAGTAGAAAAGCACCATTTAATATAGGTAATAGGCATTGGGGAAAAACTGTACCCATGTAACACGTAATGTACCATATAAAAGACAGCAGCAGCCCTGGGCTGGGAGAGAAGAAGCAGTCGGGAGTCAGAGAGGATGTCAGGGTGTGTGTGTGCCTCTGCCTGAGCTGTGAGCAAACCACAGCAGCTCAAGAAGAAGGGGTGGAGGAGAGACTTTCCCACCCCATGGAGCCACCCCTGACCCAGGGTGAGCTCCGGCAGCAGGGACAGCTTCAGCCAGCCCAGGCTGCTCCGAGTCCCACCCACACTGATCCTGAGCATCTCCAGGGAAGGGGCAGCCACCACCTCTCTGGGACATCTCCTGGGCTGCGGAGCCAGAGCAGCTCAGGACGGGGAGGGATGGGGAGCCTGGGCACCAGCAGTGGCAGCAAGAAGGCAGATTTATTTATAGAATACAGATTTTATTTACTGTTCTGTTAACAACATGGGGAAGGAGAAACATGACCAAGTAGCAAAAGTTTTCTGCCCCAGGGCTGGGAAGGAAGAGGAAAAAGACAATGTGTCTGAGTAAATGTAATGGCAGCTCTTGCACTGGGGCTTGCTGGGTTAATGTGGAGGTGACCTGCAGATGTATTTACTGAGAGGGCAGAGGAACAAAGGTAGAACAGGCAGTGGGGTGGAAAATGGCATGAAACTGTAGGATTTTCTTGTAGCACTGTGCTTTTCTTACAAACAGCAACAATTAAAAACCAGTGGAATAAACAGGAGGCCAAATGGAAGTAATTTGACTTCAACAGACCTTGACATTAAAGGAAGCCAGCCCATTCCCTTAGAATTGTAAAGAAAAGAGTTACACTCTGGTAAAAGAGGATTGCTTATGCAATGCAGTAAAATTTGAAGGTTAAATGCAGCATGTAAAGTTTAAGTTTGGGCCCTGACATAATAATTTGGTGATAGATTCTTTGTCTCATTAAAAAATAATTAATACAATTAATGTACTAACTTCTGCCACAATGCTGGTTTCATCTACTACACAAAACAATGCTACAAAACACTTCTATCACTAAAAACAATGCTCTGTATCAGATGTGACTTTGTTTTCTTTACATTCATTTTAATAGTCACCTATTAACTTCTTCCCACAACAATTTCTTAGGGTTTCTCTCAAATACAGCTTCACTTCTATTTCTTAACACTACTCATAAAAAACACTGAAATTACATTTCAAACATTAGGCAAGAAAAATCAGCAAATGCACAAATAAAAAATAAATATTTGCATGAAGAAATGTTGAGAATGACAACAGACAGAAAATGATATCAATTGTCCTTTTTATTAAGTATGCAGAGATGAGAATTATGCATCTTTCAATTATAGATGATATGCAAGACTAGCTGCAAATCTCTATATGGTACTTTCCAGAAGTATGGGAGAAACTGAGCTTGCAGAATAATAACAAAAGCTGGAGTTCAATCTCACATTATCCATCACTGCATAGCCCATTGTACCACCAGTGAATTGCTTCTCCTTGACAACACATGAAGTCAAAACCCAAGTCATTTTCTGCTTTACTGATCCAACTGCAAGAGAGCTGTGAAATTCAGCTACTTGTCATAGAAAATACTTACAATTTTTTTGTTTTCTATTAATATTGTTGAACTGTTGGTTTCGACATTCCTCAGAATCACTGTGCCATTCTGGTTTCTATAAATGAATTCATTATCTGCAAGGAGGAAAACAAAAGGTCATTAAGGAAATCTGAAATTGTGTTTTTGTGGAATCTAATTACGGTCTTAAAACCAAAAGTACTGCTGGGAACTTCTTTCTGAAGAACTCAAATTATTTTTTAACATTTTTAGCCACTGCTGAAAGTGGCTCTGAGGACAGCCATAAAACAATGTGGTTGGTGTTTGTCACATATTTATTGTGCCAGACTTTCCCTTAGATGAGTGCAGGAGTGACCTGTTTTGAATGTACATACACAATTTGCTATATAGTTAGTGTAGAAAACAAGGTCAAAAAACCCCAGTCTTTAAGATTACAGGTTTCTGAGTTCCACAGTCTCTGTAGGAGTTTAATAAGCCTGGAAAGCCTCTGAAAGTGAAAGGCAAATGACCCTCTAACAAAGCAGATTCTGGAACCTAATATTGTGTTCCAACTCTGACATTTGTTCCGCAGACTTATACCAGCAGGAGAAACATGCAGAGAAATCACCATTTTCACATGAAACAAGGCAAATCAGCTTGTCTCTGTGCACTTTGGGACCACTCCAGCTCTCAAGACAGGTGGACAAGAACAAAAATACAGGAAACAGTGTCCAGCTCTCAAAGCAGACAACCTGCCTGACAGAGAGGCTGGGGCAGGCATATGAAAGGGACTCCAAATGAGGGTTAGGTAGCAGGTCAAAAGTTCAGGATAAAAAACATTACAACAATAAAGGCACGTCAGAAACTGAAGTTCAAGCCTGATCAGTGCTTACATGCACTGCCCTGCAGATAAAACATAAAACATAAGTCCCAAGCACTCTGCCATTAAAGGAATCAGCAGTTTTTCTTGGCACAGGACTAGGGTTATGGCTTTTTGCAACTTGCCTAAACTGAGAACTGATGGATCCTACCAAACCTCTGCTTCCTGTTGCTGTCGAGGCAGGATGGGAATGAAGAGACCCAGATCAGAAAGCTGTGAGAGTAAAACTCTGATTTATTCAAAATACCCTGCTCTTTTATACAGAGCTTCGTGAGGACCAACTCCATTGGTCCTGAAGTGAAAACAAGCTACAGCATTGGTGCAAAGTTCTTGATCCACAGTGATAGAACTTAACTATAAACAATGTGAAAAACAAGAGAGATAAAGAATTATTTACATTCTTCTCCAGCTCTTTCCCAGGCTTTTGCCTGGCTAGAAATTCTCAGTTTCTTTCTTTGACTGAATCTGAGACCCACAGCTTCCAGTTTCAGCTAGAGAAACAATTCCTCACCACCTAGCATTGTGGTGGCTGCCCCAGGAATGTCACCATGATGCAACAAGGGCTAAGGACATGTGGGTGGTTTAACATTACCCATGGGGTGTCCTGGGATGAGTCAAAGGCGAGTTTAAATCGTCTAGGATATGTACAAGCACAAACCCAGCTCACTGTAACTGCAGAGGTGTGCACTGCCCAGTTGCTAAAGGCAACACTGGGTTTGGATACTTGGTTCTTTCAAAACCAGGGTGTGCAGACCTAGCATTCTCCTTTTCCATGTTCCAGTCTTTTATTTCCAACCTGGTGATGATAATCCTCATCACAGTCACTAACCAACTTTATAAAAGGCTCTGAAGGTGCAGATGAAAAGCTTCTACACTCTACTTATTGCTGTTAATAAAAAAAAAAAAAAATCTTCTCCTCCATATCACAGATTCACACGTAAGTGGAAGAAGAAGAAATCTTCTCTGAGACTGAAATGAATCAGATTCTGTAAGGGCAAATGGTTGCTGCAATACAGTTGACCCTCTCAAAACCACAAGATTTTAGACTTTAAGATTCTCAGAGTCCAAATCAGAGCAACAGCTCTTTAGACTCATAGACAAAGATCTCAAAGCATAATTCTTTTTTTAAATTATGGAATAAATTTTATTAGCAACTCCTGTCTTAAATTAAAAAAAAAAAAAAAGAAGGATTTTAATTAGATTGACTTACATTTATCATTATAGTATTCCTTCATACAAACACTTCTCTTAACAAACTAAGAAATTTAAACTTGAGAAAGAACTGATTGAACAGAGCAAGGACAGAAGTCAAAAAAGTCATAAACAGTATGGAGAAGATAAATAAGGGATGCTTATTCCCTGCCTTTTCCAAAATAAGTATGGAAGGCACCAGGTGACACCAGTCAGTGTCAGGTTCAACACGAATAAAAGGGATTATTTCTTCATGCTGAAGGCAAACAAACTGTGGAAGTCACAGTCCCAGAACAGAGCAGGTGCCAGGGCTGCAGGTGGATCCAAACTAGAATTATAAAAAATGGAAGAAAAATCCATACAAGATTATATGTCTTGAAGGGACATATAATGAATGCTTGAAGGCTTTTCAGGAAGCCCATGAGCCAGCTATTGTGAGGGACTAAAGGAATAATCTGAATCCTCAACTTGAGAAATTTGCCTGCTTTTCAGAATCTTCCCTAAGTATTTGCCCTTGTCCTGGGCCATATGCCAGAGGAGACAATCTCTGGGTTCTGATCCAGCAGCAACTTATTTACAGGTCTAACTTCCAGCTTCTTAAGAAAAGTGTCCAGATCCTTAAGAAAAGTGTTTATGCCAACAATTTAGGAAGTAAGACAATAAAAAATTTAATGCTTCGTACATAACTGGTCTTTATATACTCAGGTCACAAAGACTGAAGCATTATTTGTTATAAGAGGAAAGTATGCAGCCTAAATTTTTATTTTCCAGAAATATTTCAGGCATTCCAGAAAAAAAACAGGAAAGAATTAAACTGAGAGACAGACTATTACCTAATTATCGGACATGTTGAAAAAAATTACTGCTTTAATAATCACCCTCTGTCAACAACACAGAATGTTTGCCAATTATACACTAAGTTCAAGACAAAAAAAATCATGTTTTAAACATGGCCAGTGAAACATTTGGATAATTGTAAGGCTCTCAGGATATATCCTAATTACAGAAAAGAAAAGAGAGATGAAATTCAGCTCCAAGTTCAGAACATAGGTAAAGTAGCTTATTAATCTAATGAGTCTGTGAATCTGTTTCTTGAACATTGTAGGAACTGATGGAAGTCACATTACTGCCCATAATGACATTGCTACCAAATTTTATTGCTCCTTATGCTCCAAAAAACCCCATAACATTTTAATAAACTATGAAACTTCAAGATGACATAAAAGTTGCTCCATTGTTGGAAGTAGGAGATAACAGACCTTCCCATTATTTGTTAAACAGTAACAGGCTTAAAATCAGGTGCTAATCTGCCACTTGTACTTTTAGAATGCATAAAAAAAAGAATAAATGAAGCAGTGCTGATTTGTTAGGGCTCTAAATCTTGCCATTATATTCAATTCCAGCCATCAACACGCTGTCTGAGTTAATGAACAGAAAATTGGTCTGCTTAAGAGAAGAACAAATTGATCTGTGTTATATTCCAAACAAAACACTGTGAGGTTTAGCTGGGTCTTAGTCCTCAAAAGATAAATCATATTCCTGGACTTCTGTTTGGAAATGTGTGATTTGTTCCAGTGCAAGAGCATTGATTTAAATGGGACATACCTCAATCAAAGGCAGAAAGCAATGCAGTGGCCCCTGTCTGTAATGAATTCTGTCCAGCAAGATGATGAGAATTTGCAGCCTGATTTATAGTTGTCACCAGAGCTGATAAAGGTCATCACTGACTCTCATTTTTTTATATCTGCCTTTCTTTGGGGCTGTGTTCAGTATAAATGATGCTGAAATTTATAATTTTCAGGCATGCTGCCATTTATTCCATTTCTTGAATCTTGGATTTTTTCCATCTGTTCTTCACCCAAGAAGTTGTGGCTGCCCCATCCCTGGAGGTGTTCAAGGCCAGGATGGTTGGAGCTTTGAGCAATCTGGTCTAGTGAAAGGTGCCCAGTGGGGATGGAACTGGGTGATCTTTAAGGTTTCTTCAACCCAAACCTCTCTCTGATAGCAATAGCAAAGTTTACTTTTCCAACTCCTCACCTCTCTTTCAGCTTCCAGGAAATTTTCTGGGTGGCAGATCACATTTCCTGACTGTGAATGTAGACACAGATATGTAGTCACACTTGTAAAAAGTGACTGATTGCAAGAAACAACGATTACCAGAAATAGTGGATCAGCCTTGGGGCTGTACAGAGTCAGTGCAGAGGAACTGGGGAGGCCTGGGGAGAAACTTTTAAGCAGAAAAGCTGAAATCATAAACCCCATCTGCTTCTCTGCCTTGAATTCAGTCAGAAAAGGCACAGGCAGAGAAAACAGACCCAGGGAGAGGGAACTCATGTCCCTTGGAGCCACTGAACCCTCACCAGGAACAGCACAGACAGACTGGGCACCAGACAAAACAGCTCAGCACAGTGGGCAAGAAAGTTTGGGACAACTTTACTTCTAGAAGGAGTAAGTTTGAGTGCTGGCAGTGCAAAGATTTTGAAGGAAATACATCCATTGACAGGAACATAGCATCAGTGCCCAAAAATTTAGTGCAGTAAAACTTCTCTGAAGTCCACATTACCAGAGAGGAAAGATTGGTTTATAAGATACTGGCAGGACCATGCCTATGAGGAGAACTTTCATTATTTGTCAGGGATTATAGAAAGCAGAAAGGAAAATGGAGTGATAAAATATGAAAATAAAAACTATTTAAATACAGCTCTAAATATTTTAATGAAATTGTAATTTTCTATTATTTTAGTAACAGATGAATGAGAAGTATATAGAAAAAGGTTATGAAATCCACATGCAGCAAGTCAACAGCAAGAAATAGTGAAAGAGAGAAGGTAGACTCAGGACTTTTAGGGCTACTCCAGCCTAGATCAACAGATTTGAGGAAAAGACAACTTTTTAAGTCCTGCTCAACAGACATGAAAAATAATTGATAATTGAATGAGTCTCAGTATGATAAAAGCCAGCATCAAGGGAATTATCATTTTCAATCCCTAAGATTAAGGAAGATTGATGAATAAAGGAAATTTAAGTCCTGAAGTTGTTCTAAGCCATTTCAGATAAATGAGCCTC